TCTATTCTTCGATAAATTCCGGGAAATTATAACTGGGAAAATGTTAATCGACAAAAGTAACCTTTGATCGATACCAAATTTAGGTTCTGAATTTAAATAATATGAATAAAAAACAGTATAACCTAGAAAATGTTTGATAAATACCAATGAGTATATAATTATACAAATGAGATCTTTCAGAGCACCGTGTTTGAGAAAAATATGCCAAAAAGTGCATTTTCATATTAACATTTCAAAAAAGTTGATATTTTTTTGAGTTTCTACTAACACTTGCGGCCCGTTTACTAACGTTTTTGTGTATAAATAAAACTACAAACAAAACTACTTACTGCAATTTAATCATAAATAATATTCGCGTAAAACATCCTATTAAAAGTAATTGAACATCATCTGCCATAAACGTTTGACATTTCACGTATTAGCCACCGTCCATTGTTTCATTTAAATTACGCTTCTAAAAAATATTTCTGGACATAAGACTGGCCAAATCGGTTTAGCCGTTTTCGAGTTTTACTAATTTATTTGAAAGAGAGCTCCATTTTTATATATAAGATGTAAAGAGAGTGTCCATCTTCTAGACAACCCTTTTGTTGCAATTTTGCAATCGTCTCTTATTTTGTGTGGATTATGATGAATAATAATAGTGTATTAGTTTCAGTGGCGGATCCAGCTTTGGCTCCAGGGGGGTCACATAAAATGTGTTTGGTAACAAAATACATAAATAAAATCATTATGAAGGAATTTTATTGCTGAATTAGTGTTCTATCTAAGTCTTAAGACAAGCTCAGGGAAAGTCATAACCCCCGTGACCCACCCCCTGCATCAGCCACTGATTAGTTTTTTATTTGGAATTTTAAGTTATGAACGAGTGATGTATGGCATGATGTTTTAAAGCAAATTACTGGAACTTCCGGTACAGTAATGAAATATTCAAAGAAATATTAAATGTTTTCAAATATATTATTATATGTGATATTTCAAATATATAAGTGCGCTTTTTAGAATTTTAGCTGGAATTTAAATTTAAATCCGAATTATTTTAAATATTCAAAAAATATTTTTTGGGAAATGAAATAAAAAAAAATTGCTTACCCCAAAAATAATCGTATCGTCCATACTTCGTTCTCTCAAAAACTACCATCTTCTGCACCTTTAGCTCCTCCTCCACGTGATATTTCGTGATTTTTTGTCAAACCCCCGTCCCACTAAAATACTCACGTGATTAATGGACGCCCCCTAAAAACTAATCACCGCTACTCCTCATCAGTAGGAATTGAATATTTTTTGAATCATTCAAATCGGATGCTCTGCGTTCTCAAAAATTTGATTTATATTTTCTGCGCTATTTTGCTTGGTATCTCCGAAACGGCTGGACCTGTCTTTGAGAAAAACCTAGTGGTGCAAATTAAGGCAAATTGCTGGAACTTTTTGTACCACAATCAAATATTCGAGCTGAAAAAATAACAATCAATAAATATTGATCAATGATTAATAACAATTGTTTTAAATATTTTTAAAGAGATAATTATAATTACTATATACGTATTCGTTCAAATAATATATAGTGACAATTGTATCATTCAAAATACTTGAAATTGTTTACATTAAAAAGCAATGCTGAATGAATCCAAATGAATCTGAGGATATATTTCCGTTCTCTCAAAAACTTGATTAGCATTTTCTGTACTCTTTGCTTTGTATCTACGTAATGGCTAGACCTGCCTTTGTCAAAAACTTATCAGCACATATTCTTATCAATATGAATCGAATGTTTTTTGAACCCTTCAAATACATACAAAACACACACACACACACGCGCGCACATCCATTTTTTCTGATGTGAGGTATGCCCAAATGTTCAGAAACCTTCAAAACGTGCGGAAATGCAAAAAATTTTCATTTTCGATTTTCGGCCCATTACTATAACTACTCTACGGACGTTAAATAGTGAATAAAGTGTACATTTATTAGACTTTTTGCAATCAGATTCACTTGCGGTTATTCAACAGAAAAACACATTCAAAGAAAAATTCAATTAGAACAATGAATTAGATTATCAAATGAAATGTGAAAGTAAAAGAAGTAAAAACATAATACATCTAAATGTTAAGCATTTTTCATGCAAAATGTAATTTGTTCTGAATTCATAATGATACTAATGTTTTGGGCACCATTGAAGATGTGTATGTTATACATTAGGAGTGTTATCTAACTAATTACTCAATGGCTTTTTATAGGCAGATTGTAATTTATATAGAAATAAAAAAATATATCAGAAGTATGAGACAAAATAAAAATAGCGACTTCTCTAAGATGCATTAGATGCATCATAGTTTGAATATTTTATTTTCTGCGAAAAGTGATATTTTGTATTGAATTTTACTTGCTCAATTTTGCCAATTTGATTCTTAATCCATGAGAAAATAAGTAATAGCACCATATACTCCATATGAAAGTGAGTATTGGTTTTTGGAATTACTTTTTGATTCAAGGATATATAATCTGGAAAAGGTGGACTTTTAACTTTCAAAATAAATCTGTGTAGTAGTTTGATTACAATAAAATGTTGTGAATGAAGTATTCCAACCAACCGCTAGAATAAAAATAGTTTTGTGTAATCGCTTTTTAAATTCATAATACTCGATTGCTACCTTGCCAGTACAATACATAAGGTGGACTTTTAATTTCTAAAATAAATATGCAAAACGTTTGATTTGTATTTGTTAACGTGTGATTATACAAAGTTATGGACTAAAATATTTCAAACTACTACTGAAATAAAAATAGTTTCATATAATCGCTTTTTGAATTTACAATGCTCGATTGCTTCTTCCAGTACAATTGGAAAAGTGGACTTTTAATTTCCAAAATAAATCTGCAAAACGTTTGTTTTATGGTTGTTAATAAATCAACAACTATTGCTGATAAAATATTATGAAATCAAAAATATTTCAATTAACTTTTATGTTAATTAGTTTTATGTTATCGCTTTTTGATTTCACAGTACTTGTGTAGTATAACATTACTCTTGTACTAGTTAAGTAAACATAAAAGCTTTCTTTCCAATGTAACTATTTGATAATTTTTCCATCAGATTAGATGGATATGTACGATTATTACGTTATACCATCAAGTGACAATAGCCAGTTGGTATTTTATGCAATATAAATCAACGTCGCTTACCAGTAGCCAAAAATACCAGAACGCCTATCAATCTCGCAAAGTCCAGAAACACAAATCCGCGAGATATTCTCGAACGCAGGATGTTGTGAAATATCTTAATCCTAGTGACACAAAAAATGACAAAAATAGATCAGCGGGTCTGGAGAAAAATGTAAATACATCGTTAAACAAGACATTAAAGAGAG